CACCAGGTGCCCCTACCCAGCAAGGAGTCTGCCCCTGTCCCAGCTGCCAGGCCATGAGTGGGTGCAGGGCTCAGATGAAAGGGGGAGACATCCTTGCAGCTTCTGCCCTCCAGCTGTGCCTCAAGCCAGAGCCTTCTAGTCTATGAAGCAGCTCCCTTCCAAGCTCTCCCATTTCTGGGCATCATAGGACCAGCAAGTGCGGCTCTGCCCATGTGGGCCAAGTCCCCCCAGGAGGAGCCACCTACCCTGGGCAGAAAGGTCCTGAAAGACTTTGACATTGTTCCCCTCCCCTCTCCTTGAATATTCTTCCTTCCTATCAGAGTCCTAGCTCTCCTCCCCAACAAGGTCCTCCCTCATCCACAAAGCCCAGGTTCATTCCCCCAGAGATAGGGGGCTCTGCTTCTCTGTGCTTCTGTTACCTTGCGTATGAAATGGGCACATTTTACCCGACCGGCCTTGCCGTGCCATTGGAAGTAAAATGAGATTGTGGATAACACAGGAGCTCTGTGTGTGTCAGGCGCTGCTCTAGGAGCTCTGTGTCTGTCCCCTCACTTAGTCTTCACAACAAACCTCTGAGAAACATATTATTATATCTCCATTTTACAGATGCGCACACAGGTGGTCAGAGCAGATGCCCAAAGACACATAGCTAGCAAGCAGCAGAGCCAGAATTTGAATGCAGGGAGTCAGGCTGCAGTCTGCGTGCCTAACCAACTACCCCAAACTGCCCCCAAAGTAGTTTGTAAATGCTGTGCAAACTCAAGAACATTATTATTATCCCAATGGCTGTCGCCCCTTCAGGCACACCTTCACACCAACCTCCCCCGCTCTCTCTGAAAGCAGAAGGCTGACCCTGTCCCAGGGTGCAGGTCCCAGAATTACTTAACTCAGCTCTGGGACACCAGCTCCCGACCAGATCCCTCAGAACCTGCTGCTCCACCACCCACAACCCCTCCCGAACTCACCAGCTACCTGTGTCTCGCCCAGGGATCCAGGAGCTGGTGTCAAGAAGAGGGCTGCAGAGGTAAGAGAGAGGCAGGGAAGAGAGACATGGCTGGCCAGGGCAGGGAGATGGATGGGCCCTATTCTGTGCTGGCCAGCATTGGATTGGCCTGGGAGCCGAGGATCGGAGCAGGGCAGTGATGTGCAGCTGCTGGCCAGGGGAAGCCAGCCTGATGCCTAATCAGATCAGATGCCTCTGCCCAGAACCCCCCTTCATTCCTCTACCTCCCTCTTTCAGCTCACTTACCTCCTCCCTTGCTTCTCAGCCCTGCCCTCCCTGAGTCTCCAGCTGTCCCAGCTGATTTTATAAATGGCCTTTGCAGAAGGTGGGCACCTTGGCTAATTGAATCAGTGCCTAGGAGGCAGGAGGCAGGAGGCTGGTTAGCATCACGGCTGAAAGGTGGTGGCAGCAACAGCTTGAGTATAGCCATTAGGGAGGAATCTGAGCGAGCAGAGAGGCCCAGGCAATCTGGACCTTGGTATATTCTGAAGCTGCAAGGTGGGAACTCACCAGGGGCCCTGGATACCCCCACCATGAGCCTGAGAGCAGGCTTACAGTGTAGACCACAGACACACACACACACACACACACACACACACACCACTCATGCTCTCAAAAAAAGAGAATACAAAGGGAGGCAAGAGAGAGAAGAAAAGAAACAGGAAGAATTATATACTATGCTTGTGTGGGTACATGCACAGTTATATGAATCTGTGTACACATCTCTATGCTGGGCACCACTCATGATGCCATTCTCATCTGCCCTGATGTCACCTCTGCATAATGATGAGCAAATATAAGCAGTTTCTAAGTGTCCTGGTCACAGCAGAGCATCTCCTGGTATCATAACGGCTGCCAGGTAGCAGACCCTGGAGCCAAGAGAACCTTTCTTATAGAACTGTCACTTGGTCTTACATGGCCCTGTCCCCTGGAGACCTGTCTGTTTCCTCACCTATGAATTTGCCTCTGACAGCCAGGCTGGCATAGAAACACTTCAAGGAGGGCTTTACCTCTGTGCTTCTATTGAGATGGATTCCTAAGACTCACCTGGCCATTAATCCCCTTATTAACCATCTCCTGCATAACTATTCTGTGCGTGGGCTCTGCAAGGGGGGGGGGGGGGATGAGTCTGTCATTCCCCCCAGCCTCCAGCTCTAGGTGGGGCCAGTATGTGGTGTGGACTAAGGGATGATGCACATGTCACAGGCGACCGTACGGTTGAGGCTGGCTGCACTGGCATTGACACAGTTCTCTGTAGGAGGACCCACCCACCTGGTCATGCCTTCTGAGAGGGACGCAGATAGCATGGTCTTTGTCCTTAACAACTGCCTCAAGGACTTTCATTACCCCTGCCAACTTCCCCAAATGCTCCACTTGCCCCGCCCTCCCAGCCCTCACACCTCCTTTCCCTAGGGCCCCAATCTACCACTTCCCTTTCGTGCAAAGCTAGCGTCAGAACAAAACTCACAAGTCCCTGGATCTCCAAGGAGAGGAAAGAGGCGGGAGGGGGCAATTTTCAGCTTAGTGTCCCACACTTCTAGGAGGCATGGTCCACAGGGCTCCAGGTGGGATTTGAGCATCTGAAGGGGCAAGCTCCGACATGACAATTCCTCAAGCTATCCTCCAATCTTCTGGGTAGCAAACATGTAAGTTCCCTCCTTCGGGACCAAGCCCCCACACCTGGCAGCAGCTAAGCCCCCAGTGGGCTTTTCCACAGGGTAACACTGCCCCCTGGTGGGCTGAGCTGGGACGTCCACCTCAAGGGCTACCTGAAGCAAATTACAAATATGGCATCCTTGCCTAAGGGCCCCCCAACTCCTGCCCCTGGCCTGGAGAGGGGTGCGACCGAATCCCTTAAAGGCCTTAAGCATTCCTGCCTGCCTCAAATTTATTCTGAGGCTGGTATTGGATGGTGGCAACAGGGACAGCCCTTTGGCACAGACAAAAGAGGCAGGGCTCCAGGAAGCCCACCTGTCACTCTGTCTCTAGCCTGCTCACCCACTGGCTCAACTTCCTTTAACAAGGGGCAAAGGCATGGTTTGAGATAAAACTTAGATCACAATGCAACTGAGAAGCTCTATCTCATTTCCCTCCTGAGCCTTGGAGCTCCCTTCCAACTGCTTTCAGGACTCTTCTAGCTGGGTGCAGTAAAGCCATCTTAACCTCTACATGTCAGAAATGAAGCTTGCCTTCTTCCCCAAACCTGAATCTTTCCAGAAACCCTATTTCTCTGAGTTCCATACCCAATATGACTCCAAGGTCTGTAGGCCCTACCTCAACATCTTTTGAATCCAATCTTTTCTGAATTTCTCCTTCCAACTCAGCCCCAAACCATCCTATCCCCAATCCATTTCCCACAGGGCTGGTGGGGTTATTGCCCTAATGCACAGCTCTTATGGGACTCTCTGCTCAAAAGTCTTGTCGTTCCCCCTCCCTCTGTCACCCCCCCCACACACACACACACACACACACACACA